ACTTACAAGGGGCATGGTGGATTCTAGAGATTATTCTAGAGACGTTCTATGCCATATTATACAGGAAGTCAGACTAGCTAATCAGGGGGACGATTCTGGTGTTGGGGTCTATGAGTCCATGAGATCAGTTTTGCTTTCTGGATCTTGTCCTCAAACTCTTCGATGTCTGTCCATTCCATACGGCACCTTTGGGAGTGTGTGCACCACTTGGTAAGGAACCAGGAGCCTATGTGTATCACGTACGAAAAGGCCAATGCATCTCTGTTGATGTCCAAGCTGCAGGATTCATCAGATTGCCTTTCACAAAGGAGACATCCAGATTTTGCCTTTTATTTCTAAAAGCCTGTGCGTAAATCTCAGCCACACAGCTTTGATTTCGAGATGATTTATAAGCTTCATCTGCTTCAGGAAATAGATTCACAAATCAGGCTAATAAATTCTAAATACAAAGCCTGGATCTTTGAGCCCAACCCCCACTCACGTCTTGTATTTATTTTTTAATTTTACTTTATACTTGGACTGTGAATAGACAATTTATAAATCTAATCTTCCAAGCCTTGTCAGGCAGATGGGAAGAACCATGTGAAACATAGTGATGAGGCTGTAGAGTTTGTGTGGGAAAGGACAATCAGCACCCCACAAATTGTGCAAAATAGTTGGGTTTTGTTTTGATGCTGCTCTTTTACACACTCCTCCCCCTCCCTGCCAAGCGTTAAAGTGCCCAAAAATAAAATTCACAAGATTTCACCTGGGAGAGAGGCCCAGCAGGAGCTAAAATAACTTAGACTGTGGTCTACACTTATCAATTAGACGGGAGTAGCTACATCACTCAGGGCTGTGAAAAAAACTTCACTTCCTGTGCTGCATAGTTAAGTCGACCTGCCCCCGGTGTACACACACATCGGTCAGCAGAAGAATTCTACTGTTGACCCAGCCATTGCTTCAAAGAGAGCTGGATTAAGTCCATTGATAGAAAAAACCCTTCCATCAAAGTATGTGTCTACAGCAAGATGCTACAGCAGAACCAGTTATTGCATCATGGGCTAGGCACACCCAAGGACTTGTCTATCCTTTGGATTCAGAAATCATGGCCTAAACTGAGTGGTAAAGAGCATCCCGACTCCCTGCAATTTAAGGTTTCAGGTGTCTGGTTTTCAACTGGCATACCTGGTCAAAAAGGGATCCTGGTGGCTCTGCTCGGCACTGCTGACCGGGCCATATAATCTCTGCTTGGTGGCATAGCACGGGACCCAGTGCTAAGACAGACTCCCTACTTTCCTGGGCTCTGCATACTTCCCAGCAGGGGCCTCCAGGTGCTGACCCGGCAGCTCCCATTGGTTGCAGTTCCCAGGCAATGGGAGCTATGGAGCTGGCACTTGGTGGCAGGAGCAGCGTGTGGCTCCTGTTGGCCAGGAACCGTGACCAATGGGAGCTGCAGGGTCAACACCTCTGGGTGTGAGGGCAATGTGCAGACGGAGCCTCCTTGTACCTAGGAGCTACAGTAAGAGCCGCTGGGACTCTACACCTCCAACTCTCTGCACTACCCAGGAGCCCCCTCCTACACCCCACAGAGCCCTCCTCCCGCACCCCATCCCAGTGAAAGTGAATGAAGGTCAGGGACAGCAAGTGACAGAAGCAGGGCAGATGGAGTGAGCAGAGAAGGGGCTTCAAAGAAGGGGGATGGGGACGGGGCAAGGCTTTTCCGTGTTGTGCTATTAGCAAGCTGGCAACCAGGGACATAGCATGGGGGCACAAAGGAACATGGATCCCCCCAATGACATGGGCAGGAGGAGCCAGGGGCCAGCCAGCAGGGCCAGAGTCCCTGGATGTCTGGGAGGACTAGCGGGGGGGCCTGGCAACGGCAGCAGGGGTATGGCAGCCCTGTACTCACCAGCAGCAGTGGACGAAGCGGAGCAAGGCAGCCCCAGCTCACTCTGCTCTCCCAGCGCTTCGTTTGGGGGAGGGAGGCAGGACCACCCCACACTCACTGATGGAAAGTGGAGCAACGTGGCAGGGGGAAGCAGAGCGAGCTGGACTCGCGCTGCTCGACTTCTCCTGCTGCTGCTGGGGAGTGTGGGGCCCAGACCCCTGCTATTAGCATGAGCCCCCTGGGCTGCATCGAGAAAAGCGGCTGGGTGGGACACAGCAAGGGCAGGGCAGGATGAGGAGGGGGTGGGACCTGGAGTGGGGGATGGGTGTCTTCAACCTTCCCCAGGCTGGGAGGATTACATGGCCGGTGCATTCCATGTCACCCCTCACCAGTGGGGATAAGAGAGCTGCAGCTACCAACGTGCCTATAAAAACAGAGCCCTTGTCAAGCAGACCAGGCCCAACCTGCAGGCTATGAACAGAGGAGTTTCTTTCGTGTTTTAGGAGGCTTCCTCTTTCAGGGCCCGGAACGCAAACACCACAGCGTTGGGCAAAACCTAGAGAACCACAAAGCCGGGCTGACCAGGCTGCCGAGTGCAGAGTAACAGCAGCAGAACAGGCCCAGTTTTTCCCACAACATTGCACACACTGTAATTACACTGGTTGTGCAAGCCACGGTGGCAGTTGCGCAGGAAGGAAATCAGTTACAAAAACGTCCGGCACAATTCACACACGCGGCGGTGGAAGGCTGGGCAGTCAATTGCAAACAGGTAGCTGGGGACATGGAAGGACATTACAACCTGAGGCAGATAAAGGGATTTCTAACGCAACACGACATATGCTTGGGCCCTGATTCTGCTCAGCTTTATGCCTGGGTTGTCATTTGCACTTCTGCAAAGACTGGTCATTTTCAAGCACTGAAGGAAACATTCGGATCATCTAGACCAGTGCTTCTCAACCAGGGTACAAGTACCCTTAGGGGAACTTGAGAGACGTCAGGGGGGTACGTCAACACAACTGAAATTTGGAGAACACTGAATTTTTGTTTTAAGTTTCACGGCACTTTATTATTTTTGTACTTTCTACACCCAAAAATGTCAACACCCGCCCGGCTACGATTAAGCTGTTTAAACAAATGTGTTGCAATGGTAGAAAAAAATTGTATGTGTCTGAAAACTGTAGGTCAGGGGTTCCCAACCTTTTCAGTCCCTGTATCCCCTTGGCTTTTAGTAACATTCCCGTACCCCATATTCAATATGAAAGGAAATAAATTCTGGACTCTAGAATCCACAACGTTTTCCACTCACTCTACTACTTTTGGACTATTTCAGTTAGGATAATCTAGTTATTTACCAAATATTCCCCGTATCCCCTTGACAAGCTTCTCATACCCCCTGGGGGTACGCATACCCCAGGTTGGGAACCCCTGCTGTAGATACTGGGGGTAATTATATATTTTTTTTTGAAAAAGGGGTACTTTATTAAAAAAAGATTGATAATCACTTATCTAGACCGGGGTGAGGAACCACCAGCACTCTGGGCGCATGCAGTTTGTCAGGGTTAGCCCCTGATGGGCTGCCCGATGTTTGTTTACCTGATTGTCTGACCGCTCCCTGTTCTCAGAGGCCACGGTTCACCATTCGTGGCCGGGGGAAGCTGCGGGAGTCCACCATGCCTGGGGTTGCCGGATGGTTGAAACAAAAATACCAAACACCGCCCCCCGCCCCAAAAAAAAGGAACAGGGGAGAAGTTGAGCACTAAGACCCAGGGGAACTTGGTCAGCAGCCATTTTGTACTGGCAGCCTTGCAGAACCAGGTAAGGATGGGATCAGGGGCCCGGGGATGTTGGGAGGGGGGAGGGGCGAGGCCGGGTGCTGAGTGTTTGTAGGGTTGCCAGGTGCCCGGCATTTTCGCCTCCTGGCCAGGGAAAAAGTATGGAGAGCTGCAGAGCCTTCTTTGTGAGTCTAATCTTAACATCTCTGTGGCCTTGCAGGACACGGGGGAGTTCCCTGAGGAGGGGCTGCCGATGGCCCCACTGATCTGTACTAAGAGAACATACTTGTCACCTCCAGGTCAGCAGGTCACATCTAGTGCGGCTCAGGAGCTGCCTAGAGGCGCTGGTATCTGTTGAACGATCTCCTTGGACTGGCTTGATTGAATCAGTTCAGTTCCTAGCAGGCCAGGGGGGTGAGTTATATGGGCCTGTGGAGCCCAGGGGCTCAGCTCCAACAAAGTTCAGGGCCGGGTCTCTCCTCTGGCCCCACTTGCCACCCCTGCACAATTTAAAAGGGTCCTGGAGTCCCCCACTACCCTCAGCAGTGCCGTGGGGCTCAAGTGGCTTCCTACCTGCTTGCTCTGCAGGTGGCTGCCAGCATGTACCTGTGGCCCCTGAATGTGGGGAGTGTCCCCAACTGTTGCCCCCCACCCCAAGCGTCCCTGCGGCCAGTGAGAGCTGCAGCATGGTGGTGCCTGTGGGCAGCAGTGCATGGAGATCCCTCAGCCCCTCTGCCTAGGAACTGCTGCCAGAGGAGGATGGGTCATGTTACAGGAGCAGCCCCAGAGAAGTGTCACAAACCTGCTCCCCTCCTGCACCCCCATCCTCTCCCCTCCATCACCTGCTGTCCCCAAACTCCCTTCCAGAGCCTGCACCCCCTCCTGTACCCTATCCCGTCCTTCAAACCAGAGCCTGCACTTTTGTGCACATGCATTCTGTGACTTCCATGACATAATTGGAGCTTTAGTAGTAACTATTAGTTCACTAGGGGTACATCTACACAGCAGCATTATTTCAGAAACATCCATTATTCCAAAATAACTATGTGAGCGTCTACACAGGTCACCTGTTATTTCAAAATAACGGGAGGCTTATTTTGGTGTTGGTAAACCTCATTCCACGAGGAATAAAGCCTCTTCTGAAATAGCTATTTCGGAATAGCAGTGGTGCGAACAATTCACTGCTGCTCTTTCGAAATACCTCCTCTCCCAGTGCAATTCAAAGTAATTACTCCCCAGTGCTTCCTGGGGCACTAAATCGAGGTAGTGCGTCCACATTAGGGGAGCCTGCTTCAGATTAATTTACAGGCTTCCTTGTCGTGTAGACGCGCTATTTCGAAATAAGCGATTTCGGAGTATTTCTTCCGGAATAATTTATTCTGAAATAATCATGTAGTGTAGATGTAGTCTAAGTAAAGTACAACTGTGGTCACAAAGCTGGAAAAAGACCTGATCCAAAAAATGCCAATTATTGTGCGTAGACTGGAAAAGGTGTATTAATTGATTGACTGGTGAAAAGCAAAAGTGAGAATTTCTACCTTGGATAAAGATTTGGGGGTTTGAAAAAGCGCACAGAAAAAAACCTACCCTTGAAAGTTGACTGAAACATTGTGAAGCTTCCATTTCTCCACTCTGCCTCCCAATGGAAAGTGGAAAAGTTTTGACCCAAACAAACAATGTCTCTGCGAGTTTGTTTTTCGGTCCAAAAAAGCCATTTTTCATCCAAACCAACCAACTACCCCATCCTGAGCCTGTTCCAGCCAGCTCTAGCCAGAACACAGCTCAGTGGGGATATGGATACATAGAGTAAGAGCAAAGAGAACAGGGTACGCTTTGGATGGTCTAATGAACTGACACTGGCAAGCAGAACCTGAGGCAAAGAAACTTTGCTCTGAGACACAGCAGCTCTGCCCAGAGACCAGGCACATCAAGCCATGACTTGAGTCCTCCTGAATAATTCCCACACCCATGCCTGTACATGAAAGCAGCAGAGATTGAAAGGAAGCATCATTGAGGCCTGAGCTATGCCATACCCTGTGCAATTATAACAGAGGTAAACATCTTATACAATCATGAGCCATAGCACCTAAGGCCTGAGGGATCCACCTCTTGTGAGAAGGTCATGACAGGAAACAAGAGGAGACTTTCACACCTAGGAAGCATTAACAATGGTACAGACTGATGGAGGAACCGACCTGGTGGCCCCATGTACAAGCAGCAGCACTACATTGAGAGTTTTCAGAGCAAGTCAAAGAGGAAGGGAATGGGCCAGAGGGCGCAAACAATGGGATTATGGAACTTTTTACCTCATAAATATCAAGGCCAGAAGTGACCAATAGGATAATCTGGTCCAGCCTCCTGATACCGACTGGAGAACGTCATATTGTCACCCCTATCCGACACCCGGCAGAGACAGAGCCTCTCTTTTAGAGAGAAAGCACATCTTGTTCTACAGGCTTCAAGTGATGGCAAATCCACCATGTCTTTAGCAAATTGCTCTGTTGGTTCAATGTCATTGTTACGAGCTCGAATGCGGGCAGCAGCCTATACTGTGGTGTTTTGTGACTTGTTAAGCACCAGTGGGATCCATCATGGTGCAAAAGCATTTTCGTTCTTAAAATAAGTAAACAAACGCACACTCCTTGCCTGGGTGTGGTCTGGGGTCTGCCCTGCATAGGTATGGTGGATCTCCGCAGAGCTACTGACATACAGGTGTCCACAGTTCACAATGATCATCAGAGCCAGCATTGTTTCTAGCCATCTTGGAAGTTAGACAACTCTCTGGAAACTGTCCCTGCACAGCAGAGCTGCAGAGCGTTGTGGAGACAACATGACAACGTTTGCAGTGTAGCTGTTCCACGGATAAGCTGCGGACTTCACATTCCAGTGGATCTGGCACCAGCTCTGAAAATGTACCCTCCAACCTGTCAAAGAATAAATACATCCATGAGTACAGAGCCACTAAAATGGAACCTAAAGTGAGTCAGAAGTGTGCATGTCAAAATACACGATGTGGATACACAGCGCTTCATCCGAGGCCTGCAGAAACCTTTCCTTTAACTAGACGCCTATGACAGGACAATCTGAAAAAAGGCCCCGTCCCCACCACACCTAGTCCGGCCAACATCAGCTAGATCAAGGGCGCCGAGCCCGGTGAGATGGAGTCAGTTGACACAGGCTGTGAGGCGCAATGTCTCATTGCAGTGTGGATGTCCCCTAAGTGCCGAGGGGGCAGTTGGGTATCCACCCCTCAGGGACATTCAAGAGGAGTTGGGTTCTTAACTGTTCTTTGGGCCTTTGAAAATCCCTCCCTCAACTAGTAACCTCCAGCACCCCAGCTGGAGGCATAAGGAGCGCGACCCAACCTCCCGTTTGTGAGGCAAGGACTGTGGCGCTGTCAGAGGTCACCCGGGACACCCTCCACCGCAGTAAGTGGCTCACTGCACTGAGTAGGAGACAGGAGAGTTACCTGCCAGTGCCAGCATCTCCTGCTGCTGATTCTGGTTCATCAGCATGGATTCCTCTACCTAGATCCCTCAGGCTTGGCACCACATCGATGATAACAGAACTCGGGACGGGGCTACAGTAGAGGAGGAAGAATTCTTCCCCTATGCCACCGCGCCATTCCAATACCACTGCCACAGCCTGAATCTTTCCCGACCTTACTCTGCTGTCCGCAAGTCCTTTCACCCTCTGCACAAACACAACCCAGCCCGTTGCACAATGGCTACCTCTGACCCTTCAACCTTCCTCCATTGTTACAGATTAGGGAGCAATGATACGATTAGGCTTGGAAAGTTTACATTTGGACTTCGCCTCCCCCCTCAGGCCTTCCCAACCACCATCATGGTTAAGTATTAACATTTATGAAAGGGAAATGGTACAAACAACAGGCCTTTCCGGACATGGGCCCACTTGGATTTACAGGTTTTAGGGGTATTTGGATCTGAATTAATTAATCAATGACTATTTCTGATGGATTGTCAGAAATCTCATTCTCTTCTTTATAATGCCTCAGAAATACAGTAGAACCTCAGAGTTAGAATCTGAGCAGTCAACCACATGCCTCATTTGAAACCAGAAGTACACAGACAGCTGCTAATAATAATAGAGATGTAGCCGTGTTAGTCTGGTCTTTCTGACACAAAAGACAGGCCTATGCAGCACTTTAAAGACTAACAAGATGGTTTATTAGGTGATGAGCTTTCGTGGGCCAGACCCACTTCCTCAGATCCAATTGTGGAAGAAAATTGGCGTGACTAATTTTCAGCCTCATTATATATGTTCGTGTCATTTCTAACAGGAACATATATAATAAGACACCACCCCTAGAAAAGTGCATAGAGTTAAACACAAACTACTAAAAAAATACATGATTAGGTAAATAATATAAAAGGAAAAACCCACAGAAACAGTTTAAGAACCTAAAAGCAGGTTTTTCCTCTGTACGGTACAGTTTCAAAGCTTTATTAGGCCAATATTCAGTTGTAAACATTTGAAACAACAACCCTAAGATTTTGTCTGCAAGCTTCAGAGGGGTAGCCAAGTCAGTCTGTACAGGATAAACTTAAAAGACAACAAATAGTCTGGTAGCACTTTAAAGACTAACAAAACAGGTAGATGATACCATAACCTTTCATGGGCACAGTTCACTTCTTCAGATGTTTGCAGTTATGGACATTTCCTAGTTATGAACAACCTCCATTCCTGAGTAGGGTAGCCAGATGGTCTCCCAAAAAATACTGGACACCCGATTTTTTTGGTCGAGCAAAAAAAAAACGGAACTCGGTATAGGCGGAGCCACTATCAGCCGCTCCCCCCGCCCCCGCTAGGCTTCTGCGCAATCACAGGCTCCCAGTGCTGATGGCAGCCCCGCCTCCCAGACTGGGACTCTCAGCCACTCCCCCCGCCCCCGCCAGGCTTCTGACGAAACCAGAGGCACCCAGCGGCGATTGCAACCCCGCCTCCCAGCTGGGAGTCCCAGCTGGGAGGCGGGACCACGAACGCCGCTGGGAGCCTGTGATTGGGCAGAAGCCTGGTGGGGGCGGGGCTGCCCACGTCAGGCTTCCATCTGGTGCCCAGCCGGAAAAATCAGAGAATACACGTATCCGGTATTGTCTGACTTTTTTTACTGGGCAGAGGGCTCAAATACCGTACTGTCCAGTAGGACACCGGACACCGGGCAACCCTATTCCTGAGGTGTTTATAACTCTGAGGTTCAACTTACAAGCACCTGGCAGTTTTACATATGGATGGGTATGAAATGCATGAAATAACATGGCCTTCGGCCTCAAGCTTTAGACCTCCCTGGGAAGGCTCTGCCTATTGAGTCTGTTACATCATGAAAACTCATAAGTTGTCACGACTGTGGGTCTGTACACAGCCAGCAGCACTAACACAGACCATGGCTTGGGAGCACGAACTCTCTCTCAGCTGGTGGCTTGCAGACACTCTGTCACATCAGCTAACTTGCCCAAGCACCACTTGTCACGGCCTCGTCTCTCAGTCTGACCGAGCAAAGTGGATTTTACCACAGGCAGAGGGACATAAAAGACCACCTCCGGATTTTACAACGATTGCGTCAATTTGATTTCCTTAGCGCCCGCTGGAGGAAAACTAAGTTCCATTAAAAAGCACAATACAGCCTGTGTTAAGACACATTTTGGTTGCTCTGTGTGGTTTGAGTGCACGAACAACAAAAAAAAGCTTTGTGGCTAATTAGGAGTGTTCAAACCTGTTAAGGAAGTCGGGCAGAAAGGATGGTCGAGATAATTACAGCACTAGCAGCTTCAGATCCTGTTGCATTTCCCTCCCTGACAGCAAATCAAAAGCAGATATTTGCTAAGTGACTTTTCGCCATCTGTTCAACGAGGAACGCTAGACACCGCTTCTCAAATGTCCTCTCCCCAGAGATGGTTGAAGTCCATTCCCCTCCTACCGTCGCCGAGGTTGTAGACAGGGGCCGTCCTCTCTGCCTGGCCGTTGGAACAGAGGAGAGAAGAGGAATGTCTCGGTGGAGGACATGGAGAAAGAGGCCTAGTTTCACAACGGGACTTTGCTGTTATAATGCTGAATGTCACATGCTTGACTTTTAGGTGCCTAGAAAGTCCTTAAAGTCTCATTATGCACCTTGGCTACTTATCACAGAGGTTCTCAATCTTTTTCTTCCTGGACCCCCAGCAGGTTATACAAATTCTTTGGCCCGCCTGTGCCACCAGTGTTTTCTGCATATCCGGTAGCTTGGAAACCAGGACTGGCATTAGGGGACAACAAGCAAGGCAACCTCTGAGGGCCCCACACCAAATGGGCTCCCCAAAGCTTTGTTGCTCAGGCTTCGACTTCAGCCCCCCATGGGACTTGGGTTTTGGCTTCTGCCCTGAGCCCCGCTCTGGCCCTGCTCTGTATTTTACTTTGGCGGGGCCCCTGAAGCCAGCTCACAGCCCCTCCTGGAGCCCAGGAGAACCACTGGCATCTACAATCCATGGAGAGGGACAGGGCCTCAGAACGCAGTCCAAGAAGAGCCTGTGTGCTAGATGCGGAGAGAGCTAGGCTAGCCAATGGGAGATGCTCACAAGAAGGCTGGGTGCGAAACTCCATGGCTCTCTGAGAGACAGACAGCGAAGTCTGGGCTGCGGGGAGGAATCTGTCTCTGCGTAGTGATCTACCGGTGGGCACCAGCCGCGCTGGAGTCAGGTTTAGGAGCATGTCGTTTCTGACAGGAACAAGTTAGGCCCCTGCTGCAGACAACATAAGGTGGCCAGTGGAGCTGCCACCTCCCACCTTTTAGCCTGTGGTAGGATCACATTTGGCATGTGACACGCCCAGGTTCAATTCCCCCTCTCTGCCGCAAATGGGTGATAAGGAGATCAGGCAGGACGGCTTTGACTGGTGGGCAGCCTCTGAGTACGCTAACTGGATCCAGCCTTCCCCACGACTTAGCCAGCCAAACATCTGCCTTTCCCTGGGAGGCAGCAGTCATCACAACCAGGGGCAGAAATAATGTAGGCACCCAGGGAACTTTTACCCCAAACATGTAGGCACCTGCAGTGTTTAGCCCTTCTGTGGCTTGCAGGGAGCCCAGAGCAGGGTTGTAGGCACCCACGGATCTTTGTGACTCCCAACCTGAAGTTAGAGTCATAAAACGTAAGTCCAGAAGGACCAACAGATCATCTAATCTGATCTCCTCTCTAGCCCCGGCCAGCAGCCCCACCCGGCACTCACTCTCTCAACGCACCAACCCAAACGAGACCAGAGCCCACAGGAGACTAGACCATCCTGCACTCCAGGCAGAAAATTGGGGGGAGAGGGGGGGCGAGGGGCACCAGTGCCCCCAAAACATCAGGGAAGTGAATGGCAAGGTACCCAGATCATCTGGCAAGTGCTGCAGGGCAAGGCAAATCACACCCACCCCCGTTGCGAAGGAGGGGAAATTCCGTCCCAATCCCGCACATGGCGATCAGACCTCGAGCCGGTCAGCCAAGCCCCTTGACATCACACTGCTCATTGCCACCCCAGAATGAATAAATGACCTTCCCTGCCCAGTGTCCCACCTCCAGCTGTATCCCGGATGCTTCGGGAGGAGGAAATCCCAAAACCCCTCCCAGAATGCAATGGGGGGAAATGCTGTTATCAC